GCTGGTTGCAGTTGTCTCAATGCGCCAATCAGGCTACAGGCGAATGCGCACTAGACACTCTCTTATAAGACACTGTCACCTCTGACACAGAGAGGGTTGCAACAGCGGACGTGAGGCCATCGCCAGTCTGCTCCCAATGTCGGGGCTTGCCCCGAGGCGGGACAAAGAGCGCACTGGAGATCAACTAGCGGCAACAGCCACCCGAGACAGCTCCTCCGGGTTTTTTAAACAATAAACCCTCCTCCGGGTGGATTCCAGAATTATGTCCTTCTTATTGTGTTTTTCCTTGGGGATTTCAACAGGGCGTAATTCGACGGTGACACACGTCAGTTGTCATCGTTATAACACTAGCGACGTCGAACTCGTCGTTATAACAATAAGCTTGTCAAATTAAAATGCGCGTACACTGACTTAATTTGGTTACGTCTCCTAGTGGAAGAATAAAGCAGCTTGACACAGTTGCCATCTCAGTCAGTCTACATTTACGAAGCCCTTTCAACGAACCCTACAGGATTTAAAAATGGGACAACCTTAAAAGACAAGGGTCCAAATCTTATATCTTCCCAATACACTGTGGACGGTAGAATAAGAGTCACACGTTCAAACAAAAGACGTAGTTAGAAAATAAGTGACAAGTATGTTTAACCTTGTCTCAAATCTCTGCAAATCTGACACTCCGACGTAAGTGAACGATGTATTTGCAGCCAGTCAGACTGACTGACTGCATCCCGGGAGATCAAAGCGTAGTCAGCTTTGTATATTACAGGAGATTGACACGTAGTGGCGAAACCGGCAACATCTATAAGTCAAAACATGTTTTATTTTGAAATGCCTAAACGTCCCCTCTTAACATAGCGGAGGTTCTAAAAGTCGCGTTTGATAATTTAAACCGGAGGAGAAGGTTGCAGCTAGTGATGATCAATTGTGTTCGTTAGTACATGCTAATTAGTTATGGGGGTACGCGGTGGTGAGGGTTTGTTGAAGTCGGACCAGGGAAATGGGGGGAGGAGAGAGAGAAGGCGCGGAAAAGCCTACGCATGTTCGCCAACTGCTCTTCCGATTTCTCTGGTGGGAAATTTTGCAACTTTATAACAATAATTGTTTGGCCAAAATGATTACCACCGTTGAGCAGGTCTCAAGGCTCGGTGTAACTTTGAGAACTTATTTGCTTATTCTATGACAGCTCCCCTACCGCGACTGCAGTAACGGCCCTCGTTCAAGCAAATGGCGGACACCCCAGTGCTAGCGAGTTATACTAATATCCCCTGTCTCAGCATCCTCGGATGCATTTTCATCCGCAGATTAATTAGGTATCATGCGCCCAACCGCTGCTAAGAAGAGGTTGTTAGCGTAATAACAACAATGCGCCTAAATAGGACAGCATCTATAGAAAAAACAATATTTTGTGCCCACTTTAGCATGGCGGATTTATTAGGTGCTTGAAAATGCTTTAAGCGAAGAGATCAAAATAGGTGACTGAGACCTCTATCATTGGGCCTTGATTCAAGCATGCAAAAAGGATGTGACGGTGGGACTAGTACAGGTTTAGTGCCCTTGAAATTGCTCCGAAACCTGGATATCGTCGGGCGGTTCCCGATTGTGTGACGTAGGAACTAAACCCCAGTAGTCAGGTTCCGAGCTTGACACTGGTCAACTAATTAGCTATTCATACTACAGCAATGCATATAAAACACAAAAGCACAAGGAAGTCAGAAGAGTCTGCTTCTGGGGGCGCTTACTGTGGACCTGCCGTAGGCAACTAATTTTGTCACTCAACTGACAAAAATGGCCAGGAAGGAACTGAGAAGAAGTAGACATGATCGCTGGGAAAAGAACTTTATTAGCCTGACGTTTCAGATTTCTTCTTGAATCCATAATTGGAGACAGTATGCGTCAACGTTCTCTCACATTCTCGTCCTCAAAGGCCCCCTGAATGATTCGATATTATGTTACTCATCCTACTGAAATACGTCATCGACTATATTCTCGAAACAGGTTCACGCGATTCTGACTATATCGAATTTGAGCGCGGATGTCAACTGATCGAGTACGATTACGTTGAGAATATGACTTGAACATACAGTTGTTTCAGTGGCTTTTGTCAAAGTAGCTCTATGAATTATGACGTCATCGAAAACAAAACCACATATCCACTGACCAATAACGACCGAACGGACAACAATGGCGTAGTACTGACGCTAGTTTTAGTTGGCTTAAGCGTCGATGACGCATTTCGAACTAATAAAATTTACTTGTGATTAATGAAAGACAGCTCAAAATCTGGTCCGATACGGTTTGTTAAAAGGCCTATATGGTTCTAGGACCTTCGTTATTCCGTCAGTATCACTGGGAGGGAAATTATGCCTACGCAATTAAATGCGCTGGCGAGGAACTCTGCGCTGGGTAGGCATCGTGGAAAACCACGGAAACCAACTAAATAAGACATGATCACGATGACATCAAGTAAAGGTATAAATAATGGTACCTGCCGGGGGTTATAAGGACCTCTACTATCTGTTTTTCTGCCTGAATAGCAAAAGAGATGAAATGAATGACACTTCAGGTATCAATTTTTTTCTATTTCACAACCAAAGTTTAATTACCATCACCAACCGTGAGATAGGTGTGATCCAACCAAGAATAAACACACTGAAGAATGTGAGAAGAATTCGCAGGTTATTGCAGCGTCAAATAGCAAGTGAATGCACTTAGTAGAAGTCGTTGACTAATATTAAGAGAGGTGATTCTCGTATCTGTATTCGGACTCTTGATGAATGCGTTATTAATACCACTATCAACAAAGATAAATAAAATGTTGACGGCTTCGGGGGGCTGCATTTTTACACTGAGCTTGCGGAGAGTCCCCACTTTTACCAGAGCTTTATGTGAAACAAGCTTCCTGCAGAAAGCAGATTTATGAATACTGTTGCAAAGTCCGATACGACTCTTATAGATGAGTTAATATGTATAACTGCACGGAGAGCTTGTGGCATCGAAACTAGTATAATCACATTCATAAAATGGCCATAAATTAGTCCAATATCTCATCATACGAATGTGAATTCGGAAAGCTTACCGAAGATGACGCTTCGCGAGGTCATGTTTGCGCGTGGCCAGGTAGTACGAACCAGTAGCAAACCAAGATATCTGCATGATGTATAAGGGGATTATAAGGGCAATACTTTACCGCGCTTTCCGGATAAATCTTCACCAACTTGTTGGAGAGTATGAAAAGTTCTAAAAGATAGTTTGATAAAGGCGAGCAAGCATTACCATTTGACTGATTCAGCATTCTGAGAACAGAAATATGTATCGGGAGACAATCAGGATGAAATGGGTCTTCCTTGAGTACACTAAAGAAACGTTACTTGGAGATTGAAGTACCGTGTTGTTATTGCGTAACACCGTCGATAATGGTCGGCCGAGAGCAAACGATCGGCTTGATGTACCAATACGTCACAATTATTTTTGAATAAAGATAACTCTTGGGGCAAATCTGTAATTCCAATCTGCAAAAACAATAGCTAGTGGACAAGTTTTTAAATACCTTTGGGATCTGGTCCACATAAAGCGCCTTGACCATAGAGGCAGTTGAGGCAGGAGTAGACTCTAATTCGCATTTTAGCAGCTGTTTTTCATCTGAAAACATTAGACAAGAGGAATAGCCAACCTTCTACAGATACTACCTCTAATTTCGTTAGCTTTTCAAAAGC